GCTGATACTTTTCTTGTTGCTTGCAAATTGTAAATTGCAGTTATTCGCAATCATGCTTATAACTGGCGTGGGTTCATGTGCATAATCAGCTGCTTTTTGAATGCATGTTCTATTGTTCTGTTTTATTTATGGATTCAGTTGTGATGAGAAAGACATTATGGAGTTGTTTGGATGAAGCCTTGGAAATGTCTTTTAGGAGTTTTGAAAGTCAGTGAGTGCCTGGAGTTAGTTTGGGGTACAAACCAGGACTGTGGGTAGCACTGGACATTTAGATGAAAAAGTTAAGGAGTTTTCAGCCTCAAAATGGGGGGTCAAATGCTGCCTTTGGACTTTGCAGTCCACGAACCACCAAGATTCTGTACTGGCACAGGCACACTGTTACTGTCCAGTTGAAATATAGCCAGATCCAAATGCCCTGAGGTCAGGAATCATCCCATCAATCCGGACCTGTTGCCAGTCTGTTTTGACCCACTCCTGGTGGAACAGGAAGCTGAATTTCTACCTCCAATCTCCTTGCACAAATGATGTGTCAGAAGGCTTTTGGTGCTAATTATCAGCACTAACCTTCTGATTGGTGCGAGTTTGCTTATATAATTATTTTTCTTAATATCTACATTTATCGTCATAGATGTCCAGAATATGTGGAGTTGGAAGGAACCCACAAGGATCATCGAGTCCAACTCCTGGTCCCTGCACAGGACCATGCCCAAGAGTCACACCACGTGCCTGAGAGTATCATCCAAACACTGTCAGCCTTGGTGCTGTGACCACTGCCCTGGGGAGCCTGTTCAGTGCCCAACCACCTTCTGGGTGAAGAACATTTTTCTAATATCCAACCTACACCTCCCCTGACACAACTTCAGGCCATTCCCTGGGGTCCTGTCCCTGGTCACCACAGAGAAGAGATCGGTGCCTGCCCCTCCTCTTCCCCTCAGTCTCCTCCAGCTGAACAGACCAAGTGCCCTCAGCTGCTTCTCATGTGGGTTCTCCTCAAGGCCCTTCACCATCTTCATGGCGATTCTTTGGGTGCTTTCTAATACCTTTATATCCTCCTTATGCCATAGCACCCAAAACTGCACAGAGGTCTCGAGGTGAGGCTGTACCAGCATGGTTATGTGCCAAGACCATAAGAGAGGATCTTGGACTGCCCAGGAAAGTCTTACCCTGTGTTACAGGTTCCAGTGTCTCACTTGCTTAATCCACTTAAGCAAGGCTTTCTGAGCCTTCATTTTATAAAATCTTTGGTTTTCTCTCCACTTCCGGTCTTAATCTTCTTAAATAACTTCCTTTTCTGGGAAGTCATCAGTTTTGTGTTTGTAAATATACAGTGATGCAGGACTTCAGTCTTTTTGGGACCACTGACAAAACAACACACATAAGAGTAATTTCTCTCTTTTCTCAGTGACAGATTTTTTTATTTTCCCTATGTGCCTTTCAATGAAAGCAATATTTTGGCTGAAAGCAAGAGCCAGGAGATGAACTTTAACAGCACTCAGTTCTTGCTGGATCTCTGCAAAAGGTAGATTGGGTAATTTTTGTGTGCATAATAACATACACAGAGTGTGCTGACTTTCCAACCCTGTGTGGGAAAATGCCTTATGCTCAGTCTTCCCAATTAAGAGAATTTCTTTACCTGGTTCTTCCCCTCTCCTCCTATCCAGTGGGAACCATCATTTTAAGTTAATTTTGTTAATTCAGTCACCACATTCCCCAGCAGAGAATAGAAGATATGCATGTGGCAGGACAACACTGTGCCATGTGCAGCTGCAAACACTTTCTAGATAGGGTTAAAATTCACTACCAGCTCTCTAAAAAATAATTAGTTTGTCAATAGGAAGGAAATAAACTGGTTGGTTAGGTACTATGCAGGGAGCTTTTAATTAAACGATGTTTAAATATGATTCCCTCAACTGTCAAAGAATTGAATCCATGAATTATGTTTGCTACAGTTGTTGTTGTTGGGTTTTTTTAGTAACACCGTAGAGTTCTCTCTGTGCAGAGCTGTAGGGGATGGATGGTAGCTCCTGACACATTCAAACACAGCTGGCTGAGAACACTGCTGGTGATGGATGAACGATGTCTCTGTTAATGCCCCTGTATACATAAATGATGGGCTTGCTTTATTTATTTATAAGATGTATCCAATTACACATCTTAGAGCAAATGTCCACCGTTCAGTAAAGCACACAACATTGGCATTAAAAAGACAATCCCTGAAATCAGTGATCAGTGCATTTTCCTCACTCTCCAGAGAGAGACTGAAATAAGAGCTAAACCTAAAATTCAGCAAATTCAAGCAAGAGCATTTGGGACCTAATCCTTGTCTGTAAGAAGTGACTGAAACTCAACCCAGGGCTGCTGTGGTCTCTGCTCTGGCCACATACAGAGCCCCAGGTTCATCTAGGATCACTGTTCCACGTGGCCTGGATGGATCAGTCCCATCTGTGCAGCGGGTCAGAGTCTGTGCAGACAGTGATGGCTCAGGTTCACCAGGCTGTTACCTACTGGGATGTGTTTCAGCGAAGCGAGCCATCCTAATTATTTGAAGTGGAGGAGAATGAGCGGTTTTGCCTTTCATGTAGCTTCAGCATAGTGTTTTTGGTTGTTCTTACTGTGTATCTGTGCGTGTTTGCACTCACAGGTGGATCCAATCTAAACCTTGAGATGTCCGACCAGCATTAGAAACTTCACAGTGTAAATTAGGCTGCTTTCTTTTTTCAAGTAGGTTATCTATATTGCGAAATAATTCTTAGTATTTTGCTGCAAAAGAATTAGTCTGGATTAAGGTGAAGGTGCAGAAAATCAGGGTGTTAAACACTCTTAGACTTGAGATCTGCTTTGTCCTCTTGGAAGACATCAAACTTAACTAACAGCAGGGTAAGTGCACATTTATGTGTGGTTTGTATTGAATAGCTAATGTGCTGTAAATTCACACTTACTTTTCTGATGGTAACTTATTTATGTAGAAATATCTCGAATTACAATTATGGCAGAAATTGATAATGTAACCAGAACCTGAATGTTCTGACCTGCCAGGGAATAAGTCTCCCATGCATTCCTCGATTCCAAATGCAAACGTGCCACCTGTTACAGGGACGTTGGAGTCAGCTGGAAGGCACAAATCAGCCGTACCTGCCTTATCAAATACTGTGCCAGTGGAGGCACACAGCAGTACACACTGACAGAGCCCCGAAATGTTTGGAAAGTTGCAGCAGGAGCAGAAGGCCTGAGACAGAGATCTGGAATGCAGATGGAAGTGCAAGAAGCGGTTGAGCTATGGAATGTTTGCTGTTCTCATAGGGGTGGCTGCTGTTTGCCACTTTGACGTTGTCCACCGTTCTCTCCTGATGGTGGGAGTCCAGCAGTGGATCAGGCTCCTTTCCAGAGGCACTGGAGGGCAAATGTGCCTTATTCTTTCTTTTTAGCTGCTGGAAGTGTAGCCAATGTTTGTTTCTCATCCTGTCTTGCTGGCTGTCTCTGAAATGTAGTGTTTTCATGTTGGATACGGTAGTTCTGCAAGAATTTATATTCGCAACGAGGTTTAGCAAGACAGAATTGTGACTACCAGGCAAATCATTTAGAGTTTGGTTTGGTTTCTAGGAACAGAGGCTTACTAGTTATTTTTCACTGGTTTCTGTGCTATTATGTTGTTGTGATAATCTTGGCAGGAATCTGTCAGTCTGTGTTGGTATAATTGAAACTTGTTTTCCCTGAGGAATCACTCTGCTGTTTGTTTTATTTGTTTACTGACATTGACAGAGATCCTAATGGCTTTTGAAACCCAATTTGTGCATCACTGAATATCCTCCAAAGAGGAAAATAAAATTAAATTTATCAGTAAAATAGGGTCCCCCATGCAATGCTTTGTCTGGGTCTTTTAGACTCCACCTGAGCACCCAGATGTGGGTCTGGAAATGGTGGGGTGAGCTGCATCTTCTGATTATTTCTAATTCTGTCTTGAGGGCTTTTGTCATTAAGATACTTGAAATGATAAATGACAATAAGGTATTTAGGGCATCAGTGTAAGTTGCCCAGCTTTGCCTTGTGAGAAATAAATTATCTTTAACTTTTATTAATAAGGAAGTTAAGATAACAGAACAATAACCGTGGTGAAATTTTCCTTTTGGGAGGGTATACATGATGGTATCACTTATTAGTGTCAACAATCAGGGTAATTAAGTGTTTAGCTTTTTAAATGTATGATATCAAAGTATTTATGCCTTTTTTTTTTTTTTTTTAAGCCTTTAAATAACTTCAGTGAGATAATTTGGACTACTCATATTCATAATGCCATACTGGACTGTGGCTGTGGATAGATGTGTGGCATGTTGCACACTGTGCTGCAGAGGAGCATGCACACAAATAAATGATGAGGCACAGGAGTGTAAAAGATAGGCTGGGTTTCTTTAAAGACTAAAGAACGCAGGATAATTTTTTTTTAATATCCCCCGAGCTGTGGTTTCGCACTGGATGAAGACCCAGATATTTTTTTATTTTATTGAAGTGACTTAGACCACCTCTAATTACCTTTTGACACACTTCCTTGTCATTGAAGCACAGAGGGATTGCCTGGGTTTCAGTGAACTCTGGCTGTGAACGTCATGAGGAGATAAGTTTGGAAAATACTGCTGATTTTAAAGGTTATCTGTCAGTTTGTATATACACTGCTATGAGCCAAACAAATCTGACCTCAAACAGAGCTGTAATATAATAACACTCTGCCTTTCTTACTGTGTATCTCCTTTGCACATCTCCCTGACTCTGATAGCACCATAATAATAATAGATCTGCAATATTTATGCTGCCTCTTCTAAGGAAGTGTTCTAACGTGCCTTGGACAGGTGGGTAATTAGTGTTATCTCCTTTTTTACAGAAGGTAAATTAGAGGTACAGAGAGAGAACTCTGACTCACACCTCTGTGTTCTCATTGCTTGGTTCAGAAGTACAAATCTTGACCATATGCACTTTCAGTCTGACTTGTATTTTTTATTGCATTGCAGTGCCTAGAACTAGGATTTTGGCTACTGGTGGCGCATCCCACAATAAAACAATCTTGCAGGTAAGTAGAAAATAATTTTCTTTGAAGTGAACTTGCAGTTACATCTTCATTTTTATTTTGCTGCACTGAGTCCAAATCACTGCAGCTGCATAGGAAGGTGTGGATAAGGGACTGTGAATCTGCTGCAGGTCTTTGGGGCTTTTCTTGAGGTTTAGTATGGAAACCTTTAGACCAATGCTAATATTATACTGAACTTAAAGGTTTTTTCATGCTTGACTAGTTTTTTGAATGTGTATCTGTAGCACTGGTGTTTTCCAGGTCTCATCACTTGCATCAAATCAATTGCCAAAGAAAACAAGAAATTCCACATATAATACCTGAGATTTTTATAGTTTTTGTCATTCAGGTTAAAGTTAGATTACTTCGTGATGAAGGGGGATTATGCTGGTGTTGAAGACTCAAAAACCCCAACCCCAAACAAACAAACAAACCCCCCCTTTACAAACCCCAAATCCCTGCCCTTCTGTTACTTATTAGCATCATGTCATATACTGGGAGGAGGCTACACTTCTGTACAGTCTGTCCTCTCTCTTCCCACCTTCCTCCTCCTCTGCTGTCGCTGCACATCCAGCCTGGATGAGATCCTTCATCCATCTTCTCTGGAAGTGAGTGCAGTGTTCTGTTTCTGCCCCCCTGAGATTTGGCAAACCCTTGCTCACAAATGGTGAGAGGTCTCTCACCTGGGCTTTTGATAGCACAGAGCTAGACATCTGGACTGGGATTCACCTCACCCAAATGCAGTCATCTGTGATGTGATGTCTGTTTACGATCTGTCAGCCCCGTAATAGTCAGGGGAGATCCCGTCAGTTACAGCGCAAAGGAAACCGGATGATGTTTTAACTTAACAAATTCAAATGTCTCGCTCTCTGGGTGGGCCAAAGAGCTCTCTGGACTCCACAGAATGCCTTGACAAGCTCCCCTTTAACTACAGGCTCCAACACTGGCCTGGAGGGAACACAGACACCAAAAGGCACTTGTCTTGGGCCAAGTCTTGTCACTGACGACTGACACGGGGGATTGTTTTCTGGAGATGCCAGTCCCTTCCCATCATCTCAAGAGAGTAAAGTCCAGCCTTAACTGCGCACCATGCTCTTTGACAATTCCAATCATAGGAAAAGGAAGGTTCTTTGCTCTACAAAGCCTGAGCTGGAATAAATGGAGTTTGAAAAGCAAAAAGCTGTTTCTCCGAAGTCATGTAAACCAGATGTTTGTATAAATGTTGGTTGTACAGCTGATTGGGGAACAGCAAATTTGGCATGTTTTGCCTGCAGATGTCACTTTGCTTCATCTGCTTTGGTTATTTTGCCTAGCAACTTGACACTGGAAAATTAACTGATAGGTTAATTGCTTAAAACATTGGTCCTTACAGGTGTAATTCTGCTAAGAATACATCAGGAAGAGATTGGATTCAGAGATGAGTTTGTTTTTAAAGGCTTATTTCCATGTTAGGTGCCAGGAGGATCTCCTTGCTGTGGAATAAAGGAAGAGAATTGAGTGCTCTTGTAACATGTAGTTTGGTAGCATAAAGAGCTGAAAAAATCATGGGGATGAGAGAGTGGTGGCTGGGGTGCTTGCTTTTCACGTATAACTATTCAGCTGGTTTTAAAACTCATTAGAAGTGTCTTAAAATAATATGATCAATACAGTGTCATTCACTTAATTCAATCACTGTTTAATTGGATCTTTCTTTTTAATTTAATCAAAACCTCAGAAACTATATCAGTTGCATGAAGAATAACAACTTCCACCCTTATCATGGTCAATTTTGGATCATTTGTTCCAGGGCTACAAAAGACTATCATTTAATTAATCAACGTTCAGTAACTCCTATATTTTACGCCGCAAAGGAGGCAATGTAAGAAAATCTGTTAAAAAAATTTAGTAGGGCAGCTTTCTCCACAGTTCTGGGAAGCTTTTTATAACATACGTGGTGCTTGATTAATGACCACATGAAACACAGTGAAATATTTTCAACAGTAAAACCTCTAACTGTTTCTTTTAAAATTATTCACGAGAAATACCACAGTTTCAAATGACTTACCAAATATATGAACTTTGAGTAATTTTAATTTTATAATCACGTGGCACAAAAATTAGTTGTTATTTGTAGCATTACAGCACTTATTAGCATTCAGTATAGAGCAGAACTGCACTTTATGAGGCTCTGCAGAGATGCAAGAGAAAAAAAAAAATCCTTATTGTCCAAAGTATTGCACAATTCAAGCTTAAGACAAGAAATACCTATTAGAGATGAGATGAAGAAGCAGATGGGGAATGTGTTGAAACAACATTGTAGTATTGGCTGGCAGGACAGGCAGTGGAACCAGTGCTCTGTGACCTTATAATTTCCAGAGGGCTTTTTAATAGATACCATGATTAATTTTTCATTTTTCCTCTAGCATTGAAGCTCATGTGTTGCTCAGTGCTTGCTTGCAAGTAAAGTTAGGCGATACTGACTTGGCTGTCTTACCAGAAGAAGCATTTTAAGTGTATAAACTCAGGCTTTATTGGATTCTCCTTAGCAATCAGCCTCTTTTGTTTAAAATTATGAAAATCAGTGATTTTCAAGGGTTTTGATTTGCAGATTCTCCACAAACTTTCAGAGAAAGAAGAAAAATCCTTTAGAAATTTCATATACGACGTTTTTCTGTAGCTGATGTGGATCGAATTTCTAAGTCATCTTTTATGAAGCCCTGGGGCCTGTCAATCAGTAGGGTTGTAAATTCCAGGATCAGGGTTGTCTTGCAGTAATCCAAGTGGTTTGGGTTTCTGGACATTCTGGCCTTATTTTTGACTCGATTGCATGGATGTAAGTTGGGTGAGACACTTTTCCCTTTGGCAAAAGTAATAAAACCAGCATAAGTTATATCGGAATTGTTGCCTGCGTTTTGTGCTGCTCAGCCTGAGAGGCACCTGCAGTCCTGGAAGTGATGAAACCAAAATGGAAAGCATTTGTTGACAGTGTTTTTGGAAAGGAGCTATTGAACCTCTCATGTCCCTCTCCAAATATGTCTTTATTTTCCCCCTTCTGTATTGTTTTCCTAAACCTACACTGTAGGAAAGAGCACATGTTCTCAGTGGATGTGAGATGCCTGGTGTTGATTTCAATGCAGCATGGTGTGTGGTCGAATAACTTTATTATCTGTTGGATACCATAACAAATTCTTTGCCTGTAAAATTTTATTTGTATTGCTCAAGCCAAGTTAAGAAGTGTCTCAATATATCTTCATAGCTAAGGTTGCCTTCAATACAGGAAAACTCCTGGTAAATATAGAGACTGTGTGACCAGCTCCTATGTCATTCTTGCTGCTAATCCTGATATGATGAGAATGGTGGAGATGAAGAAGACAACCTTAGTAGGCCTTCATATTGCTGGAGTTTTGTTTTTGTCTAAGTTTAGAACTGAGGAGCCATGACTGGTTCTTCTCTCCTTTTTTCTTACTTGAATCAACCATAAATGCAGTGGAAAAAAACAATCTCCAGTTGTGGCTTCCTGACCAGGTTCTCCTTGTCCTGATGGAAACCTTTGGCATGGGCTGATTGTGCAGGCTTTTGAGGGAGATGGAGCCTGAACTCAGGCCCCTCTGAACTTGTAAACAAGAGATCTGGATCGAAATGGGATTTATCTCCTGGCTGCAGTTACCCCTCTAGCTCAGAATTGCCAATACCCTGTTGTGTGGCAAGCTCAGGGCTCATTGTTGCCTGCGATGCTTCTTTCCATGGGTCCCTGAGTGCTTGGCTGGGGGTTATGAAAGTTCCTTGTTTTCCTAAGCAGTGACAGGGGTTTGCTTGTCCCTTGTCTTCTCTGGACAATGCTTTGATACTCCTCAGGTCCTGTCGGATGTGTTCAACGCGCCGGTGTACACCATGGATACTGCCAACTCCGCTTGCTTGGGAAGTGCTTACAGAGCAATTCATGGTAAGGCTGCAAGGGGATACTTGTGAGCAGTCAGGGAATTTGATTTCAGTTGGTTAATGCTTGGGATTAAGGATACTGAAAATGAGGGGAGGGTAAATCTGTGTGCTTCTGACTGGGAGGTCACTCCGGTCATAGAGGGTTTTTTGCCCTTAATACGCTTGGATTAGGCCCAAGAATAATGTTTACATTATAATTACAAGTCTGGTGGCTGCTTCTCAAGCAAGGGATAGGATGTGGAAAGTGTTGATGCTGTCCAGGGAAAGTTTGGGATCTTAATGTGTTGAGTTGCACACCAATGGAAGAATGCAACCAACTGAAGGTGCTGGTATAACCTGCTGCCACAGTTTGAGGGCTGAGCTGTAAACTGGATTGCTGAAATGCTCAATCCAAACAAAAGGTAGATCCTAGGATGGAAGATCAATGAGGGCAGGGACAACAGACCCTGTAATACTGCTGGCCAAGTAGATGCTATTAAACCTGTATTTATCTTCCAGCTTTTAAACATCAGGTTGAAGGATATGCAAGGTGTCCTGGGCTCCATGCACTTTCTTTTGTGGGAGAATAAATCTTAGGATACTCTTAGGTTAACCATTTTGCTTGTTGTACTGCATCACTCACTGTAATGCAACAGTCCAAGCCCCAGATTTACAGTGTTAATTAAACTATTAATGCATGCAGGTTTGTGTTCAGGGTGACCCGTCAGCTATTTAAGACTTGAATCCCAGGCATGAAATTTTATTCATGTATTTTAAACCAGTTTCTAATATCTTACAGCTAAACAATTCGAAGGAATTTGTGTATAAAATTCTGAAGTCCTTATTTAGGTCAACTTTCTTTAGCCTCAGTTTTTCTAACTAGAAGCTTTAGGATTTGGTCCTTAAGACATGGGTAACTTCTCTACAAGTTCACGTTAAGATGATGGGATTGCAACAAGTGTGGAAAAGATAACATCAGCCATCAGAAGAAATCAGCCAAGTTTTAATTTTAGCAGCAAATTCTGCTGTCACATTATAGCATCTGAAGACTACACACTCTCTTGCATTTGAAAACAGCACAGAAAATCGCGCAGCCAAAACTTGAGTTGGTGTGTTTAATGCACACAGCATGCCCTCCTTTTTATTTCCAGCACAAACACGAGGGTTCTGTCAGGCAGAGTAACCGTTTCAGGACAGTGGAAACAGCACTGTTCAATTATCAGTATGTTTGAAGCCACGATGGGACCATTTTTGCACCTTGGGGGGTCAAGTTTCCAAAATGTTTTTCTCTGCACTCAAACTTTACCCTACTGCCTCAGAAGCCACCAGAATCTTCCCAGCACCTAATGCTGCAGGCAAATTTCCTCATCTGTGGGTGCTTGTGGAATGAGGAGCCATCATTAAAGTTTGTTCAGATATTTTGTATGTATGGGAGCTGCGTCTTCCCTCTCTGCCAGTCTGGCATGTGAAATGTGGAGGATTGGCTGACAGAGTGTTTGAAGATTTGGGATGCCATGCTGAATGAGGGACTCGTGTCCTCTGCCAGCCAAGCCCCAGGGGCTTGCTGTGTGTGTGTTTCTAAATGGCATTTTTGATTGATGCTTTCTGCTGACTCACTCCTGGCAAGGCAAAGAAACTGAGGAAAAGTGAAGACTTGCTAATATAAATGAAATACTGATGGCAAGGGCTCTTTAATAATATTGCAATGTACATCTGTAAGTGGGGTGTTTCACAGTTAGCCTGGGGTTCTTAGCAGGTGCTCAAGGAGCTCCTGAAATGCTGTGGTTCACTTGCAAAGCAGAATGGTGTAGTAGCAGAACTCCCCTATTATTCTGCTTCCTTATGTATAAATATATTTAATAATTTGTAGCATATCTTCTTCAAAGTGTTTTCTCTTCTTTTCCTTTTTTGTTTAGTCACATTTTGTCCTTGAATCCTTTGCTTCCACATATTTTCACTGCTGTTTACTGTATTGTTTTAACCATAAATAATTACTGATATTGTTGAGCAGCATTTCTGCTGCTTACCTATTCCCCAGGGTACAAATTAAGTGATTGGCAAAAACTCAATCACAGAGTCCCCCCTTCCCAGGCTAGCGCACGGGAATGTAAGATCCTCTACCATTTATCCTTCAATCCTGAATGCTGACCTGACCAGGGAAGATCAATATAATGTATTAATTTGCCAGGGAGTCAAGGCACATCCCTCATCGTGTTTTTTTATTTATTTTTTTTCTTTGCATTGATCAAGATTGTGATTCTCATTGCAGGACTTGTAGCTGAGAGGAATGTGTCCTTGGCTGATGCCGTGAAATCAGCACCAGAGCCCAGGTTGGCTGTTACACCCACAGCTGGGGCTGAGGAGGTGAGCAAGCTGGGGGATAACATTTTTATTTTCATTTCCTGTCTGCTTCAAAATGCACTGGTTTACTAATTCTTCTAGTAAAATAGATTATTTAAAAAAAAAAAAACAAAAACCAAACATTTGGTTACACAATTCCTATTCCTTGTTGTAAAGACAGATTTGATTTTGGGAGATCTTTAGTGTTGTAATGATGCAATAATCTGATCCCCTTCATCCAGGTCTGTGAGAGTGAATGTTCCTAACAGGGTGTGATCAAAGAGCAAAATCTGTTCCTTAAGGGACAGAAAAAGATACAAAGTAGGTTGAATTTGGATGCAGGTCAGTCAGGTAGTAACTGATAATATTGTCAAAACAGTCCTGTTTGCAGCAAGCAGCGTGGAAAAAAGGGTGGTGATGGTGGTTTCTGGCGTCTTGGGAAACATCCCCAAAGATGCTTCCTGTCTGATCACAAACAGGGGTCAGTAATTGTATATATTCACTCGTAGCTCCCACTTGGAAAACGTGCCAACTGGAAGGATTCAGCAGGCACAGGTCTTTGGTACCGTGCCCATCCTGTGAATTTCAGCACATCTAAAGGTGCAGTTTGTGCTCTATGGCCCAGCAGATAAAGCAAAAGAGACAGTCCTTGTTGTTATCTGTGTGATTCCAGCCCTTGTAAAACCAAGGAAGGACTCGTTGTCTCAGGCTCTCCAGTACAGCCCTGCACCTTTCACTGTCAGGTGCCAAAGGCTTTAGTTTACAACAGCTTTTGAAATACAATGTGCAGTGATAAATAGACAATACAAATAGACCAAGATTCCCGGGGAACGCAAGTTTAAATAACAAAGGTGAATCTAACTGTCTTCAGCTGGGCAAAAACTTTGTTTGCATCAACACAGCCTTGCTCGCTCTACCATTTATGAGATTTGGATGCGCCCTAACTACAGGCAACAAGGTTTTAAAGCTTTTATTTAAACTGGGAAATTAATGATCTGCCAAAACTACTAACTCCCAGCTACATGTGTAGTAGAGCACCAGATATCATCATGAGTAATAATAGAAATGATCATGCCGCATTGTGCCTGCCAGCATATTATTTAATTATTAACTGAGATGGAGGAGCTCGGTAATCGAATAGAAGTCCCCTTCAGAAATATTAAGACATTGAATAATTTAAACTTGATTGATCTGATCTCATTTACTCAACCTTCCCCCCTCATTTTAAAAGATAAAATAATTAACAGCGGTGGCCTGTGCTGCGTGTGTTGCAGCCGAAGCTCTCTGCAGGGAACACACTTCAGGAGCAGATCCCTGGTGTCTGATTCAACCTCATGTTGCTGACCTGTTCCCCCCCAAAATGCTGTGTGCTGAAAAGCTGCCAGGCTGGCTTGGGTAGAGGTGGGGAGTGCTCAGAGACCTGCTTTTGACCCCCTGGTGCTGCTTCAGCTATAAAACTCAAGGGCAGGGAATACAGCTGTCACTCACAGGGGCCTTGCAAGCACCTTGTACCCCTGCAGGGACCGAGCAAACCTGACTGGAAAGATCACTGGGGAATTCACCTACCTGTTTCTGTTTTACTGTCTGCATAAAATGGCCTGGAAGCTAAAAGAGTTAATTATCTCCCTCTCTATACTTTTCTTCTCTTTTTCCACATGGTTAGACCTGGCTCTCACAGCACATCTTATTGTTGGTTTCAAATGATGTACAGCAGTGAATTATTGCCCCAGTAGATAGGAGTGAATGATAGGGAAGGTAGTGGCCAAACAGCATGTGAAGGAATAACCATTCCTGCTCTTTATCTTAGTTTTCCAGCTTCATTCCATTAAAACCAGCTTCTTGCAATTATGTATTCCAAACCATTTCTTTTTCCTTCCTGTCTTATAATTTTTGCAGTTGATGGTGGATTCCCTGGCTAGTTTCATGACTGTGAAACTGCAGAAGGCCAGAGGGCCTGTCAGTAATACAGTGTGTTAGCATGAACAGTGCAGTAAAATTCATAATGCAATGAGTCAGTCTGATTCTGTTTTTTTACAGAGCTGCATCTCCCTGTCCATCCAATTTCATTCTGTTGAGGTTAGAGCCTTTCACTTAAATGATGGTTCTTTTTATAAACTTCAAAGTCATCCTGAGGATAAGTTCTGTCTTGCTGAGGTGCTCTTCTGAAAGAGTCTGGCTCACCGATGTGAAATTCCCCCGACCACTTCTATACATTTTTTGGATGGCTACAGCTAGATCTTGGCAGGGTGGAGAAAAAACAGGTCATAACACAGCAATCTGCTCTGGCTTCATCCTTTCTTCCTGGTATAGGTTGGAGACAACATGTGTTAGATCATTGGAGAGAGGAAAACCTCCCATAGATGGAGGTCAAATGCGACAGTTTGATGTAGCTGCTTCTTCATTGCCAAGGCTTATTCACCCAGTAGGGGTTTCCAGGAACCAAAAATGCAAAAAAGTGTTTCTTTGATTGCTGAGGGATCATTTGTGATAATGAATGTGATTTTAAAAAGTAAGGGCAGGGCACACAAAGCAGCTCTTCTGATTCAATTAAACTGATGGGCTGGTAAAATAGAATAAAGTCACAAGATGGGGAACACAGAGCTTGTGATGGGAGATGAATTAGTAGTTAGTGGAAACTGAAGTCTCAAAAGTTCCAACTTGTCTGGCAAAAGTGTGACTTTGTCCTGTAGCAGACCATCCTGCCTTGAAGAGACCATTTCAAAGAGGATAAATCCCTCTCTGTGGCGATGACCCCACATCTCTTAGCTGAACCATATTTCCGGGTATTTTTGTGTTAGCTTGAGCTTGTTTCTAATTCTGCCGATATCCAAATGGGTCATAAGGTGTTCTGGGAATAACCACCGTGATGGGAGTCCTTGGTCACTTACTCAGCCAGGGCAGCTCAAGTCATCCGTGGGTTAACCCGATGAATCCTTCTTCCCTGTTTTCAGAACTGCAAAAGTTAGAGTAATCTCACCTCTTTGGAGCCTCCTCTCTCCCCCCTAATTGGAAAGATTAATCAGAACCACTGAGCATGACAAAAATAACCAGGAGATTCTAGAGCAATAAATATATGATAACAGACTGAAAGAATCTATTATTCCAGTACTAGAATTCAGATCTAATTTAGTAATCTCTTAAAACAGAGATGGCTGGCTAGTTGGTTAATTAAGCAAAAAAGACCCCAAAAAAACAACATGAGAGGGAAAATGATTATCTGGGAGTTGGTCACTTGTGTTTATACAAACTGTGTGCCATGATGTAGAGTCAGGTTGGCTGTGATGTTGTCCTGGGGGTTTTGTAAGGGAGAAGGCACAGTGCAGTTCACTGCCTCTGAATGCATGATTTTTGATTGCATTATTGACTCCGCTGAGATGTATTAATCCTGCCAAAATTCAAGAAGGGAAAATGTAAACCTAACAGGTTCTCTTGACTTTGGTGAATTGCCTTGTAAGTAGGTGGATTTATAGAAGTGACCCTGTTACCCAGGAAGGTTATAATGACCTATTCATTGATTTAAAATAATCATGTTTTGTTGAGTTAGATTTTGGGGGTGGGGGTGGGGTTTCTAGAATAGCTTCAGGTTGGTAAATTAGCTCAAAGTAGGTAATAATAATGCAACCTCAAAAATATAATAGGTATTGATGGGAGTTTGATTAAGGTGATTTATGTAGCCAATAATATTTTTTTACCTCTTAAACTGATTAAGATAGGCTTGAAGAATGGATATCTGAAGTACAGAAAGTAACTGTTTGAGGTGTGGTTCCTTGGAGAAGTCTTCAGTGTATTTCAGAACACTGTTGTATTCTTTCTGTTTTATGAATATTCGTTCTGTGTTAAGAAAGGTGAACAAGTGCTATGATTTGAAAAATAAAATGACTCATTATTTCTTAAGCAAATCTCTTTGAGTAATTTGAGTTTGGTTAAAAAAAAAAAAAGAACCTATCAAAAGCAGTAAGTGTTTGTGAGAGACTGATTAATTTTAATCTATTCAGGGTAGATTAAATGTACCTGGGTAGATTAAAATTAGATAATCATCAGCATCATCTTTGTAATTTGTAAATTTTGAATTGCCCAGTGATTGGCGTGGAGCATTTTAGGATATAGGGGGACCTATGTGAATTGTCACTTGTAGTAATAATTTGTAGGTGGTTTGCTCTTAGAGGGTGTCAGGGACAATGTAAACAGTAAAAACCCTGGTGAGTACATAGGCTGGTACTGAGATATAATACAAGGATGACGCATTTGATTTGGACTAGAGAACAAGGTAACACTGTATGAATGCATTTTTCAGAGAGGGCAGGTTAAGTTATTCTCTGTTTTAATGTATTATTTATCATTAGCATTTTCTTTACTTACTTGTGGACTGTCAGAGAGTGACCAAATTGTCCCAGGAGGGAAGTTTAGTGTTTGTAGACGAGGCAATCAGAGTACTGCTGATGCTGTGGGGAAGGCTGGACAGATAAGCCAGAGAAAGGGCTGTAATATAGCAAGGACAATTAAATTATGGACAATAATAAGGTTCATGTTGTGATACATGTAATTACTTCTGTTAAATATCACGGTTTGATAGATTAGGTTTGAGGCTATGACAGAGAGGGAATTTATGTTCTTGCGTTTTTATGCATCATTGAGAGCCCTTTATTCCCTTTGGACCTCAATTATAAAAATGCATCTATAGAATTGCCTCAGGAAGAAGACTCCTGGAATTGCACAGGAGGAGTTGCCCGAGGTTCTGTGGAGGCACTTCAGTTGTGATAGATGTGGAAAAGCATCTTTCACAAGCACAACTGTGTGCACACTCAGGACTGTTCTCGGCTGGTGCCTTTTGGCTCCTCTTGTCTGTGCTTCATGGGAGCTGCACTGCTTTAGCCACAAACTTCAGCTGGTGTGAAAAGCTTGTAGTACTGCTCCACTTATCAGCCATGATGTACTGGTGGTATTACAGCCGAATTCCCTGAGGAGGAGGAATTTAAGACTTTTCTTATCCCTCAGAGTTTTTTACCCCCATGAACAGGAATAGAGTACAAGAAACATTCTGGAGTTTTTGTTTGCGTTTTTTTTTCTGATGGCCCATAATGCAGCGTTCATTTACTGTAATGGCTGAGCAGCTTATTGCAAATGCTTGAATTGTCTCAATTAGCAAGCTAAGTGCTTAAGTCCAGTAAACAGGAAAAGAAACAGCATCACTAAATGTGGTTGTTCATTTATTTTGACACATTTTGAGTGATGTATTAACAATAATACTCCCCAGCCTTCTGCCAAATGCACTGTGTGTATTTTGTAAAATTTACTGATGGATAAATAATATGGAGCCTGCTTTCTCAGTGCTTGAGCTCACTTACCAGTGCAGTTCTGTTGTGCTGAATCTTTGCTGAGAAATGCGTAGGGTTTATCAAATTTACAGAGTAGCAAAGTAAGAAATAGCCAGTCTTCATTATAGATGCTTCAGTGAATAGAGAAAGTGGTTTTGTTTGACATACTGATACTCCCACTACAGCCATAGTTGCCTGCTCGATGTTTTGTTTACTCTGATGTGCATATTTAGCAGGAATGGGAGCAATAATATTCTTTGGGAACATGAAAAGAATATATATATGTGCTTCTATGAGCCCTCAAGGCCCTCATATAGTTAGTTAAAAATACC